GCAAGTCAAAAGAAGTAATTATACAAAAATCACTAGTTATGTCTTACATGGATTACTGTATGCAGTTTTGGTCTCCTTTTCTAAATAAGGATATTGACTTATTGGAAGAGATTCAGAGGAGGTCTACTAGGATGATTCTGGGGATGTGATCCTATTGATGCTTACAAGTTTATCTGTGGGAATGATACAATAAAGGCTTTGAATCTGTTTGTGCTGAAGACAATAGGATGGGAGAACACAAGTTTTAGATTTGGAGAAAGACAGGCTAGACAAAAATTAAGACATTTTTATTTTTCTAACAGGGTGATTGTCTTATGGAATGACTTGCTGTTGGCAGTAGTGGAGGCCAGCACTTTAAAATATGCTAAGAGGGATATCAATGAGTCCTGCCAAATAAAAGGTGAGTGTAAATTTGTATGTTTCTTGAGGGTGGGTATTCAAGGACTGCCTTGATGGACTAACTGGTCCCTTGTTAACCTTATGTTATAACAACTATAATATAAACAAAACTGATCACCAATTGGGCAAGCATAGTTTGCTTTCGTTTTCTTATTTCACCTGATTATGGAATGATCTTCCTCTTCATCACTGTAATCTACATCAGAATCCATATCAATACGTTCTCTTGCTGTAGCTTTCAAATAGGAAACTCGACGACCTAAAGGTACTTCCCCTAACATAGGAATACAAAATAACAATTAAACAATAAAAAAACATATGATTCTGTCAAGAATTTAAAGTTGTTCTACAATTCTCATCTTATTTCTTAAATAAACTGGCAATGTACATGCTGTGCTTTACTTTTTAGGAATGTTGTCAATTTTTAAACTTCTGGCAGAAAAACTGGAATCCCTTTTCAGTCCTAAAACAAAATTCATCAAACTGTACTTTATATACCAGTCACTGAATACTTGAAATACTATCATAAGCATAAATATGAGTTTCAAGGATGAAAGTCCAAAACAAACTACATATTATATATAAATATTATTTTTCATAAATTACAGTGCATTTGATAATTGGAACTTTTGTTTTTAATTTTTTTTTGTTTCAGTTCCTTAACAATTACACTAAAAGTACAAGTACTAGTATCGACTTTTGGTTTAAATACCTTTCTTATTAATTCACTATTTCTATCTTCATAAACTCATCCCATGTAGTTTGTCTCTGCTGGTTGCTTACTTTGACTATAGGTGTACTTTTACTTTTGCCTAACACTTCAGTCTCCAAGGGATAAAAAAAATTTACAATACCGATTCCTCTAATGGAACTAGTGCTAATAATGTTTACTTGCTTCAAAATAAGTTTCATTCACCTCATAATCTGAAAACACTAACATTTATATTGTAGAAGAAGGCTTGAGAAAAACAAAAATGAGCATGACAAGGTTTCTGTTGTAGTTTTATTGAACTTTTCATACTTTTGCTTATTTCTGATTGACGATCATATTTTATTACTGGCCAATCACTACACAAACCCTAGCATCCCTTTCTTTAGTGTAATTTTCTTTGGTTAAACTTCTTTTAAAATCTATAGAATGATGTGAAGTTAATGTGTTTATCATCTGTGAAGTTTTGTTTTTTTTAAAGATGGATCATGTGTTATATACATACTATTTTGTTTAAAAGGCTACAATAATGAATAACTGAATGTTTAATGTTTCTTGAAATAGCATGCTTGAACACTGGATTTTTACTCATTCAATCAATTGAGATAAAAACAAAACTCTACAAGCAGCCAAGAGGATTTCTTACTTCCTAATCTCTTTAGAAACTTTTTCAAACTGATTAAATTTATTAAGACAGCTTTTCTAGATAAATCTTACTTGTAAAAATACAATCATTTAGAACCTAAAAACCCAATAACATTTGTTGTATCTGTTTCTCCACTTGGTGGAACAAAATGGTATAGACTTAAGATTTTATCACATCAAGACAAATATTAACATTTTATAAAATTTTTTGATTCATGAAACAAGTAAAAAAATTAAGTAGATCCTTAAAAGTTCACCTCTAATCAATTACGCAATGGCAAAGAATTCCAATCAAAGCTCGATATCTGAATGAAAGGGCTAAATAAAGCATAGAAATAGTATATAATCTTCAGTTGAAAACTAAAACATACCTCAACTTGAGACAGATTTTTAGATATGATTTTGCATCAAATTATTTACTATTTTTAAACAACTATTTCTGGAATGACAGAAGATTTCTAACCCCCCCTTTGAAAAAATAAAAATAAATACTCAAAAAATGTCATCTGTCACTATATTACTTTTAACGAATTTTATAGTCAGGCCTACTAATAAGTCCACATTCCCTTTGTTTTCCATAATAGTGTTGACACCTTATACCAGCAATTCAGAAAACAAAATAAAATTTTTCAGTAACTAGGGTATGCACATAACTTTGAAAATAGTTTGTCTCCCGCCCTTCTTCCCCACTAAGAGCCGGAGTTAGAATATGGCCTATTTATGGGAATATTTTTTACACCATACTAACAAGACTGTGTTTTTTTCACTTTGTTCTGTGCATTCTATTAAACAGTTTTTATCAGAGTTAGTAATCATAAAATTTGAAAATTAAGTGATGCAGTCATATATAAGAGTGAGGGAGGTAAGTACTATTGGAAATATATTTTTGATTTAAGAAAATGTTAATCTTCAAAACATATCTCTCACACTACAGCTAGAATCCCACATTGATAAGGTGGAGGGGCCAAAGCCCAAAGGTGAGGTACTGGAAACCAAACTGCCAGTAGTTGGGTGTTCCAAAGAGTGGCCAACCCACCAATCATCAGTGTTTCAAAATGAAAGCCAATCCAACAGAAAACCTTGTAATGCAGCATCTATTCAATTGGGAGAATCTGTTTGGTTGAGACAATTGATTTGCTACTGCAGTCATCAACTGTGGAGCATGGCAATCTAGTAGTAGTGTATGATAGAAGTGGTTCCGAGAAAGGAGATCCAAGGTTCGAAAACAAGGAGCACCACCATGAAATTGTTGGAGTGAAGCCTGACGATGTTCCCCTTAATAAGCCTAGACCAATAGGCATTGCCTTTTGAAGAGCAAGAAGGACTAAAAGGTTGTGGAGGTTAGCCTCGTCATCCATGCATAGACCCTGGAATTCCTGACTGTTGGGATATTCAGCCATCCCTGAAGCAAGGTATTCATAAACAGATGGATCTCTGGGTGAGTTGGTGGCAGAGGAACCCATGTCTCAGTATTCTTTCAACTTAACAACCACTCAAGATCGAAGAATAATCCTGAATAAGGATACTGGGGAATCCAGTGTATATCAATATTTATGATACCTTGGTTGCATAAAGACTATTGAAAGGATATCTTATGTGCTCATCCCAAAGGCACAAGAGATTCCAGTGATGTTCCACATTCCCAAAAGAGAAAGAACCATCCATGCAGTGGGAAATGGAGAGGGGAGTAAGAGTTGGGCTTCCTGTTTCATAGAGTGAAGCAAAATGGGAGTTGGTGGAGCCCGAATGAGATACGTGATGGAAAAAAAAATACCCATGCTGATGACATGTTAAGTTGGAGCAAGAAAAGATGTCTCATCCCTGAGAATGAAGCCTGCCTTGGTTGTTTTTGAAAGTATAATCTGGGTGTGACGTTTTGATAATTGACGAGATGGTGACAGCAATAACCAGTCATCCACCGAATGGTGTGTGTGTGCACAGGGCTAGAGAATGAAGGTGACAAGAAAAAGCTTGTACAATTCGGCAGCACCCATATGATGCCAATGCTGGTTGGAAGGTAAAAACTATAGTATCTGGCAATGTGCAGATAGAAGCATACTACATAGAACTTAGACATCCACAATCCTAGTAAAAAATGCCAACTCAGATTGAGAAATGAGTCGTTTGTGAACCTTGGAGAATCTAGGCATTGATATAGATGAGAAAGATTAATGATTGGAAACAAATCTCTTAGGATTAACAACCAACAGGAATAACCCGAGAAGATCTAGGATGACACTCTCACTCTATCCCCAGACCAACTAAACTCTAATATCCATTGAACTGAGTTCCAAAATCTGAGGATCTGTTGAAGACAGAAACACACGTTGGGTGGATAATAATGGTGAAGATTTGAACTGAATGATGAATCCTGACTCAAGGACCTGTAGTACTCTTGGATCCATAGTTAAGGTTACCACACGT